GATTGCCCATGACCAACAGATGTGTCATGACCTTGACCCAAGGTCATTTTGGGAAGTTCAAGGTCACTGGAAGAAAAATTTCATAATTGGTGTCCGGTCCATATCTTTCTTATGGATAAAGTTGGTAGGTTCTCATTTCACACAAAGATTGCCCATGACCCAAGGGTGTGTCATGACCTTGACCCAAGGTCATTTGGAGAAGTTCAAGGTCACTGTTAGAAAAATTTCATAATTCGTGTTTGATCATATCTTATTATGAAAAAACTTACTTCTGAAAAACCCAGCGGGGGGTATTTTGTCCCGTTTGGACAGTTCTAGTTAATTCTATTCCAAGGTTTAATAAAAAGGGAGTTTACGCATATCATTACCAAGAGATTTGTTTGAAATTCAAATTACTTTTTTTCAATATCTAATACAAACATATTTTACACATTAACTTCAATGTTAAATTCAAGCTGCAATTAAAAAAAAAAACAGTAATCAAAATTTTGTAAATCCCTTTGGTGTGGCACTTTAATTTTCATAACATCTTTAAAATGCTATCATGATTAAAATATAAGGCCATTCATTTTGTTAGGTACCAAATATGATCGTTATACATTAAATACCTTCAAATTCGTCGTCTAAAGAACAGCAAAGTCATCATTGGTTTAGCTACAGATATGTAGCTTTTTAGTCTGAAAACATTAGCTGATGAACGTAGAGCTACAGTTCCACCTATAGAGGAAATTGTCGATTTATTGCACACAAAAGGCCGGGCTATATTTAGGATGAATTACTTTTATTTCTTACCTCAACATACTGTACAAAATCTCGATATCTCTGTCCTTCATCAATTATTTTCATATTTAATATCTGCACGAAGCGCGTTGGACGTGTTAACTTTTTGCCCAGAATTACACTGTAATTATGCAAAAATTTCGATGGTATAAAGAGCAAGAGTCACGTTGGGTCTTATTTGGCCCTGAGAATTTCCGAAAAATCAAAACCGCTCAGTTTAGGTTGCAAATGCAGTATTTATCACTTGGACTGTTGGTGACCACGTATCTATCAATTGTGACGTAATTTTCCATCAAATCAATGCATTATGACATCATAAAATGCGTCATTTTTCTCATATCCTGTAAATTCCTTTGAAAATGGCCTAAAAGTTGAAGCATTTTTTTAATATTTCATATACAGCACAACCTCTGATCCAAAATATGCAAATACATAATGAAAGCTCTCTTTCCGAAGATTAAAAAACATCTTTTATATTTTGGATCGCGGGCTGTGCTCATATTTTAATTCTTTGCTGAAGGTAGTCAAATGCTCATGTTTTCTGCAAATTTCAAGAACATTGCAATTTCTCAAACCTATTTTCTTATATCTGGATTCTCAAAACGAAATTTTATTATAGAAAATGAAAGCACCAAGTGTCTACTTTATTTTGACATATGTAATGGGAAAGAGGGTGATAGTAAATTAACCCCCTTCCCCGCAGTCACGCATTTTAACGCATATACCATTTCCTATTTCTAACGCAAAATCACGCATAAACCGTTTCCCCGCAATCACGCATTCTCACGCACATTAAAAAGTTCATTAAATCTTTAATTCAATGCCAATTTCATTTTACTTTATACTTGCAAAAATCTCATAAAATAAGAAAAGTTATATTTGTATTAAGATGCTACGTCATAGTATTTTTTACTCTAATTTTTAAAGAAACGTGTACCACGCTGTAAGGTGCTTGTGGGTAAATGGTAATTTTCTATTTCTATAGCGTGAACATTAAGTGTATGTTGCATAACAGTTCAGTAAGTTGTAAAGAGTTAATTGATATAAGTACAGGGTCATTTTATGCATAAGATGGCTCTTGCTCTTTCAGGCCCATCTGGTTTATCAACAACTTTTTAAGGAATGTTTTGTTACGGAAAAAATATTAATTAAGTCAGAAAACACAGAGAAATATATTGAAAGACATGCAGCACACATTTTCGTGCGCAATAAATTCTACACCTTTTTTAATTGGTGGAAATGTAGCTCTTTGGTCTGTCAAAAAATATTTTTTTTCTGAGAGCTACAGTTCTGCTGGTTTAATTGGTGATTTCTATAATTATGTTCTCCTTCGTTTCACTCATCCTAACATAAAAAACTTCTATTCTAAGTATCTTAGTGAATAAACAACAGAACACAGATATAGAATGTGATAAGCGCCTTTGAACCAGTTTATTTGCGATATGTACAATTATTAAATTATTAGAAAAATTATCAGAGATGCACTGGAGGCAGACCCCAAGAAGTGATTTCCACTTTACAATCTACAAAATACAATGTGAAATATTAAATATACATATCAAACGTATGCATCATTCTAATAATATTTCCATCTGGTTGTTTTCTCTTTGTTATGGTCTGTCTGTCCGTACAATTTTCATGATTTAAAGCACAAAAATTGAATTTATTTTATTTTAATTAAGCTTAAATTTACCAGTTATTTCTAAAAATGTATAGTCCGCAATATTATTTAAGATGGGAGACATAAATAGACAGAAGCATATGTCAACATAAAAAAACGTACATTTTTTGTAAACAGCATCATGAATAAAATTGATTATCGTGTAAAAACTGAGTCAAATGCATAATTGTGATGCTAAAAATTCCAAAATCCTTGCTACTTATAAAATAATATACTTTTGAATTATGGATATAAGGGAAACCATTTTCAGTAGAATTACAATAAAGAAAATACCTGAATGAAGCTACACGATTAGGCGTCATTCCCCTAAAATTGTCAGCATTTTTTAAAGATTGAATAATTGATTAAGAAAAGGAAATATGCATTTTTGAAAATCATTTTTCCAAAATGTATTGTACTGTAGGGTATAAATTTAAGTTATTTTTGCAAAAACATATGACATCACAGGAGGGTGGAATTTTCTTAACTCTGAAAATTAATTGAGTTGATTTCATAATAATTCTACTGGAATGTAAGTTTCACCAAGCGAAAAATCAGGAACCATTGGGGCTTTGAATGCATGCAAATGCCCTATCATACCCAATTAACTAGACAGTGATTTCTTGAATAAATAAAAGAAGGATTGTTTGAAACTGATTGATTGCTCGTCGATGACCACTTCACGCCTGACCAGCACCTTATATATCGTGACCTCTCAACTACTTTTCATTATATTTGCGCATGCCGAAATGGTTCAAACAATACAACTTATAGAAACTGATTTATGCTCTCCTTCTTTTCACTCATCCGAACATAAAATATTTCTATTCCATATATATATTAGTGAATAAACAACAGAAAACAGATATAGAATGTGATTAGCGCCTCTCAACCAGTTCGAAAACAAAGGTGTTGCATGCATTCAACAGCAAAAGAATTGATCGAAGTATAGCTGTAAAACAATTTTTTACGGTTTCGTCAAAGTTCAACATGTCTAAAAAATTAATTTTTACAATAGCTCCAAAACTATGTTTGGTATAAAGTCAAAACGTTTACAGTTTATATAATATCTATTCATTGATTAACAGATAGAAAGTATCACTTGATGACAAATATTTTTAAAAAGATATTTTTGAGAAAAATTGTATCAGAAATATGTGCATATTTAAAGAGAAATGCACCCGCTTAACTCTTTTTTGTGAAAACCATCATTGCAGAAATATTATATGTTTTTCATTGAAGGGCATGGTCTCTGAAAGGCTGTTATTGAAAGCATGACATGTATAACGACAAGAACCTATAGAATCCGCCATTTGCAGTGTACTTTCACTTTCAAGTCTTATCATTTGGACAAAATAAACAGGGAAAACAATTGCAACTTTTCTGAAGCTATCCAAGTCCAACTTGCCCTTTATTGATAAACATATTTTGTTTCTGCAATAATGGTTTTTACTAAGAGCGCGGTATTAATAAGGTGGGTTTTTTTTTTAAATATATGCATTTTAAGAAGAATTTTTCTCAATTAATTTTTTTCCAAGTGATACTTTCTATCTGTTAATCAATGAAAATGAAAATAAACAGAACATTGTCAAATCGGAGAATTGATCAGCAAAACAATTGCATAAAAGGTAATAAAATACATTTTTTCTAAAAAAGAAAGAAAAAAGGAAAATGAAATACCTAACAAACGCTTCTCATTTTCTCTCTCTTTTTGAAAATCTTACGAAAAACAAATTATCACTAGTATGTTTTCAAAAAAATTGTTTTGAAATGCTAATGGCAACTATGGGATCAACGATCAAATTCTGTCAATCTGAACCTAAACGATATCATTTGATCAATGACAGCAGACGCTCTTTAACTTTTTATAATTTCTTACAGGCGTTTTATTCCCCTTTTCATTCACCGTGTTCTATTGAAAAAGGTTAAAATACACGACTTATTGTGTAAGGAATGTTAATTAAGTTAGATATCTTTTTGAAAACCATTTCACTGACAGAAATACACCTTAAAAATAGGGTCCTTATTTTGTCTATTTATGTTACTTTTTTGTGATACTCGAGTTTCAAATCAACCCTGACATTTTTCAAATAAGAAACCTACACTTTTTTGGAAAAATTTGAGGGACATTTTTGACACATTATGCAGATACGTCCTAAATATTGGACTATTTACATAAATTAATCATTTTTAAATAAGGAAATGTATTCTCTTTCGAGTAAGTATGATAAAATAAACTCCATCAAATAGGTTTTGTCGATAAACTTATCCCATATTTTTAAGTGTCATATAGAATTGAAAATAAAACAACTGGTGATACTTTTTATTTCACTTTTTCGCCGCATACAATCTACCATGATATAAGGTGACCATAGCAGGCAATAAATTAAATCAAGAAGTGAAAAAAATAGACTCGAACTATGTCCCTTTTTCCTCATAAAACTTGATGAATATCATTACTCGAGAAAACAAGTCATAGTACTTATAAATTAAAGATACCGATTGGTCCATTTAAAAAAATTCATTGAAAATGAAATGTTGGTTTCATTAAATTTTCAGAATGGCGGCGGGAAATGTACAAAGTTTTGTGAATGATGTAGAGAATATGTGCGAATGTTATATTTGCTGTGTCGAATATGACGAAAACAAACACGTCCCTCGAGTTTTACCATGCCAGCACACATTTTGCACGGACTGTCTTTCTAAGCATTGTAAAGGACAAAAGTTAAAATGTCCATTATGTAACCAAGAACATTTCACTAAAAATGGTAACGTTAAAGTATTCCATAAAGATAATACCAGACGTGACTTAAAGGAGCTTCTAGGAAGATTCATGAAGACATTGTGCGGAGTTTGTAAACGTCACGATCACACTAGGTATTTTTGTATCACTTGTAATATTCGAATGTGTCGTTCGTGTTATAAAGAAAAGAAATCTAATGATTGCAGGAAGCATAATTTTGAAATTCCAGAAGATTCATCTTTGACACCAGACACATCTTTAGAGTTAAAAGATAAGCAAGCACAACATATATGTTTGCTATCTGGCCACGAACACACCGAGTTAAAATATTACTGTGCAGAAAAGCAATGCTGCAAACCAGTTTGTTCTTACTGCATTATGGAAGTGCATAAAGGACACGCTTATAAACCCATTGAAAACGAGTATGAGAATCGAAAAAAGTCGATGCAAAGTATCTGTCAGGCAACAAGCATGAAAATTTGTCGCGCAAAGAAACTTTTAGAAAATGTGGAGAAAGAAACGGCATCACTGACAGAAAGTCATACAAAAGGCAGAGAAAACCTGACTGTCGAAGCTAATAGAGGAATTCAGTACATTAATACTTATAAAGAGAATGCCGAGAAAAAGGTGGACGACACTTGGCAAATGTATTGTAAAATTTTGAGGGAGAAGAAAAAAAAATTGCAATATTTTATTGATAATGCCTCTGAATGTTGTGCCATTTCAAAAGAAGCATTAAAAGAAAACAGCACTGTAACATTTTTGTCGGTGGAGAAGACTCTGACTGATAAACTTAATTGTTTCAATAAATCAACCGTCGATCATCCTTTAGATCCGATGCCCAGAGAAATATTTGAAATGAAGCTTCCTATAATGGAACTGAACGAGAGAATTAATAAAATGATTAGCGATGAAGAAGTCGATGAACAACCAGAGTTAGCTCAAGGTAAGACTTTTTCCAGCTCGTATGAAATAGGGAGATAACGAACAGTATTGAACATCAAAAACTAAAAATCCAAAAACTAAATCTTAAACAAAAGTATTGGTAAGGTATCGTGGACGATGAAGCATTTCTTGCCGACCGGTCACGCCCGTCGTTGGCTCTTTGTCATGATCGGAACACAGTACAGTTAGGGTAACAAATGGAAATATCGGCCATTTTCTTTTTGAAAAAAAAAATCTTTATGAGAATCGGCGTTTTTAGGACTTCACTGATGTCAAAAAAAATGGAATGCGGTTCAAAACTACATGTTGAGGACATTTAAATTTCTTGTTAGAATTGTCACTTGATGTCGGAGTTACTTGATTTTAGCAATTTAGAGGTCATCTATAAATTCCAATATTGCAAGGGCATAGCCAAGTTAAAAATCTCAGTTTGAGTTATAATTCTTTTTCAACATCATATGCCGTTTGTGAAAAGTGCTGCCAACCTAGTCTATATAGATTCCCTTATTTAATTGCTCTAATTTAATTTGTTGGACGGCAGGTTGAAGATTTTGCTGGTCAACTACATTGAATTAAAGCTATAAATTATAGTCTATAATTAATTTATTTGCAATATTTCATGAGATTCGCAGCACTGTAGTCTACAGCTATCCAGCGGTTTCAAATAGCAAATAATTTCATTTTGTTATATTTTTAAAACCTTATATTTGTGTGACGTCAATGTAAACATTTCCCGTATAAATAAGGCTCAGCCTCCTTACTGTGACATTAACTGTGCTGCGAATCGGAAAAATTAGAAAATTCGTAAACATTTAAGTAATGAAGGACCAATAATAAGAATCAATACTAAAACTTTCAAATTGCGTTTAGTTGGAGATTTGGAGAAAAAAAAGACGATTTTCTATTTTAAAAAAACTGACTTCTTGTATCCTTTTTTTCAGATTTTGCATTTGAAATATAATTATATAAGAATATTGGTGGTGTGTAGGTGAACAAATAAGTTTTAATTGTGTTTTCACTCTCGGAAATTCAAAACGAGTCTTTTATTATCTAACAAAATCCTTTTGTCTATAACTCCATCTTTTACGATTAGCCAGTCCTTCTTTTGCAAGTAAATTATGGGTGTCCTGTAAATCTGCAAAAACGTTGTGAAATTTTACTTCTCATCCTTGGAACCAGATAAGAATAAAAATAATTTCTCAAGTTCTCATTTGACCATTTCTTCTTTTTTCTTCATCGATAAAAAAGCGTCGTTTTAAAATGATAATTCTCTTATGATAAACTTTAAAATCTGACAGGTTTTTAATAAATCATATGAAAAATGGAATGACAATAAACTACCTCCATTTGTCTAATTTTACATTTAAGCTCATATTTTTAATGTTAAATGTTTAATTGAAAACAGAATACCTTCAGTTACTTTTTCAATGCCCACGTACAAAAGAGCTTGCGTTTGTAAGAATCTAGATCTTAAGCTTCATGTGACAGAAATTAATAATGTAAAATATTTCCGTTGATGCTGAATAATAAAAACATTTAAATTGACAATTATGTTAAAAGATGAGTTCAAGATTTCTGACTTCAAAACTAAGTTTTAAAAAAATGTTGTTTTACAGGTCTTTTTGGCCTACATTTTGAAGCCGGTTTCTGGTTGAGATATGCGACATTTATCACATGTATGTTTCAAGATGGATGTTCCATCGGAGTTTTGTGGTTGATTTGTTCGTTCCTTTCTTTGCCATACACAAGTGTTTGGAAAATTGACCGTGAGTATTTCTTAATCGAATTTGCTATGATATTGCAATTCTCAAGTGAATTATGTGCACATGCATTTCTTTAGATTATTTACATAAAAGGAAATGATTGTCTTTTTCTCATTGTTCATATTATTTTATTAAAGCTTTATAAGAAGTATATGGAGATAACGAACAGTATGCAATCTCAAAGTCCATAAAACAATACAAAACAAGAGCAGAGCAAACACGGACCCCCGAAACGTCAGAGGTGGGATCAGGTGCCATGGAGGAGTGAGCGTCCCCTGCCGACCGGTCACACCCGCCGTGTGCTCCTTGTCATGATCAGGAAATACGGAAAAAATCCGTGGTCAATTCAGTATATAAATAATGGACTAACAATAGGTATGAAAAACGTCTGTCAGCATTTGACTCAGTGATAATTTGCTGACAAGGTCATTGTATCGACCATAGAACTTACCAAATGATGACTTTAAACGAGACTGTTGATATTCTTGTTTCATCAACTTGCTTGTCAATAATTTACCTCGTTTTAGAAATTGTTGATACGTAGAGCATGCTCTTGCGTATCGAATCAACTGAGATATATATACTCCGTATGCAGGTGATTATGGTATAACTATTTCTTTGAAAATTACCCATTTATATTATCGAATGAAAATGGAAAGTATTCAATGTCGGCTTAGGAAATATATATATATTTGATGTGTTATTTTTCAGACTCCTATTTCGAATTTAGCAACAATCAATCATCTTGGACGTGTCACTCATCAGAGGAAAGAACTGTATCAAGCATACCAATGGAAAACGCGAAACAGTCTTGTGGTAACACTAACAGTCCCTATATTTTCAAAGGAGTTTTTACCAATTCTACTATATTACATGGAAAAGAAGAGTCCTTTCTGTTTCAGACAGACGTTTTTCATATTTCAAAATATTCTCCCGGCCTTATTTTATTTGAGTTTGGAATTTCAAAAGGTAAAGTTGAAGGACGAAACATTTTTTTCACCGTCTTCTGTGGGTGTTTTTGGTTGGTTCTTACAAGTAGTAGATAATGAACGAGCAGTAGTACTTAAAAACACTTATGGTAAGACCATATATAGAAGTTTTCTCTCAGTTCTTGAGAAGACGTCTTTTGAGTTTAGTATTGCCTTAGATATCAATGGTATAATGAAACTGAAATTTAGAAACAAAAGCTTAAAAACTTTTGAAACGTCGGAAGAGACTGACATAGTTGAAATCGATTTCAAATTTGTGTTTGTTAAAACATGTGATGCAGAAAAGGCTGGTGTATCAATTAAAATTTTAACAGCTAATGTGTCTTTCAATGAATCGACATTATACCCTAATCTATACATATCTCCAGACAATAAAACTATTGCTAACACGAAGCGACAATCGTTTTCCAAAAAACAAATTGTAAACAATAGCTTATATCAAGACATAATGCTGCGCAACTGTACAACTGATTGTATCTACGTTCTAGATTTTCGAGTAAATTTTCCTAAGAATGATTTTATTTTTTCGTTAGGCATTACAAATCTTAAATATTTACAAACGCCATATCATAAACGAATTTTATTTTCATATATACAATGTTCTTTTTCACGATTTTTTTTTACATATTCTACTTTTTTTTATCGGTAGATGAAAGCATTCAATCTGGAATCACGTCTTTAGCAAAAATGTCTCCAAACCATTGGCATAGATTAATTATAATAGTGGATAAGATACATAATTCGGCATCGTTTATATTCGAAAGTTTTCAAGTGGAAATTCAATTAGAGGATTTAGTATTTCAAAGCGGAACACCCATTCTTCGATTAAGAATGGAAAACACGGAAGACAGCGTAGAAATAAAATTAGGTAATAGGAATGATTTTGATATTTGGACATTCTTGTCAACCAAATTTTGGCATTGCGTTGGGATTTTTAATTCGATACTTCCAATTTCTCCTAGATTTTTGTTTATTATAATGCTCACGTGGTTTATTCTTCAATTTATTTATGCTTTCTTTGATGAACTATCTAAACAAAACACAATGTTAAATGAAAACGAGCAGAGAGTAGTTGAAAGACGACAGCGTGGAAGGCGACGGAGATATCATTAATGGCACATTTTGCACAATCAGTCTTTACTGTTTGTTTTGAAATCAGGGGGAAAATAATAAAATGTCTTGTAATTAATCAACATACGAGGCGTGATCAAAAAGTTCGCGAACTGATTAAATAATTTCCATAAAAGAAACAGTATTTAGTTTCAGTGTTAGTAACAACAAACAGTAATATTTTAAATTCATCATCCCCGATTTTAATGCACATTTGCCACCGTTCTGCTTATGCGCTACTCACATGATATAGGCGGTCACGTACGCCCTCCTTAGCGTTCTGTCACAAAAGCTTAAATATTTCTCTGCGTTTTATATTTCTTTTCATGTAAGTTAATTTTTATAACAAGAACAGTTCATTTGTCAGAAATGGTCAAATCTCGGCAACAGAATGAGTGGATAAGAATATCCTTTCCAAGAAAACAATCATGACGACCATCAAAACCCCAATCCTCTGTCTCGGGAGAGACGTTTATTCAAGGTGAATAGAGAATTAGTGCCTCCTTTTTATCATACCTTATATGTTTGAAATCTAAGTAAACGATATCTTAGGTATTTAAAAATTATATTATTGTTAAAATATTCAACTATTTCAAAGTGTAAATTGGAGTTCTTTGATAGCAAATTGCTTAATTAAAAACATATCTCTTTTCAAAGAAGGATATGGAGATAACGAACAGTATTCAATCTCAAGGTCCATAAAACAATACAAAACAAGAGCAGAGTAAACACGGACCCCCGTGGTGGGATCAGGTGCCATGAAGGAGTGAGCATCCCCTGCCGACCGGTCACACCCGCCATGTGCTCCTTGTCATGATCAGGAAATAACGGAAAAAAAATCCGTCGTCAATTCAGTGTATAAATAATGGACTAACAATAGGTATGAAAAACGTCAGTCAGCATTTGACTCAATGATAAATTGTATTTGCCAACAAGGTCATTGTATCGACCATAGAACTTAAATGATGACTTTAAACGAAACTGTTGATATTCTTGTTTCATCAACTTGCTTGTCAATAATTTACCTCATTTTAGAAATTGTTCATACGTAGACCATGCTCTTGCGTATCGGATCAGCTGAGGTATATATACTCCGTATGCAGGTTATGAAGGTATATTGCTGCAAAAGTAAGGGAAGT